AGAGTATCTGGGTTCAACTCCTAGTACCCACATGGCAACTCACAACCATCTGTCACTCCAGTTCCAAGAGATCCCTCTCTTCAGAAATTTACCTGTAATTGACTTGTTCTAAAGCAGTGATTCTCAACCTTCCTAATGTTGCAACCCTTTAATACACTTCATGTTTTGGTGACCTCCAACCACAAAATTATTTCACTGCTACTTCATAACTGTAATTTTGTTACTATTATGAATTGTGATATAAATATCTGATATGCAAGATATCAAAGGGGTTTTGATGCACAGGTTGAGAACCACTAATCTAAAGGAGGCAGAAGCCAGAGGATCAAAAGTTTAGTATCATCCTCAGCTATAAAATGAGCTCAAGTCTAGCCTGAGCTTATGAGATCCCCCAATAAGTAAATATAGATAGATAGATAGATAGATAGATAGATAGATAGATAGATAGATAGATAGATAGAAATGTGAATCAAAAATCAGTGATAGAAACTACCCCAAATAGATTGGCAATCCTAATAAAATGCTCTAAATAATTCCGCCCCCAAATGGCAAACTTGGAACATATTTTTTCAAAAATCAAGGCTAAAGTATTATTATTAGCTCACAAGTTTAGAGCAGTGATTGCTCTTGCAGCAAACCCATGTTCAACTCCCAGCACCCAATCTCCTTTTCTGGCCATTAAGGACACAAGCACTCATGTGGTGCATGACATGCATGTAGGCCAAAGCACCTATACACATAAAATAAATTATCTTTTTAAATCATACTTTATGATATTTAAGAGGCATTTGCACAGGAAGCACAGAAAAAGGAAACTGAAGGCTGTGGAGATAGTTCAGCAGGTGAAGGCTCTTGCCACTAAGCCTGAAAACATGAGTTTAATCCCCCAATTTAATTCACTATGTGGGTACATAGTAGAAAGAAAGAACCAACTCCCACAAGCTGTTCTTACACACCCACACCCACACACCACCACACACCACTATCTTTAAAAAATGGTTTACTGCCGGGCGGTGGTGGCACACGCCTTTAATCCCAGCACTCGGGAGGCAGAGGCAGGTGAATCTCTGTGAGTTCGAGGCCAGCCTGGTCTCCAAATCGAGTACCAAGAAAGGCGCAAAGCTACACAGAGAAACCCTGTCTTGAAAAAACCAAAAAAAAAAAAAAAAATGGTTTACTTTCGGAGGGGAGGAAAAAGAAGGAAGTCTGAAGATGAAAGCACGGACACAAGTGCAGGGCCAATTCTAAACTAAGGCTCTATCGCCATCCGACAACACTGACTTTAAGATGAAGTCGGCACGGTGGACACACCTTTACTTCCAACATCAGGAGCCAGAGGCAGGCAGCTTTCCGAGTTCAAGGCCAGCCTGGTCTACAGAGTGAGTTCGGACAGCCAGGGCTACACAGAGAAACCTCGTCTTGAAAAACAAAAACAAAACAAACAAACAAAAACAGAAGGCGGGGGCAGGCATCTTTTGGTATACAAGGTCATGGAATCAAAGCAAAAAATGTGCAGAGAAATATTAGCACTTACTTTCTTTGAAGCTATATAAAAGACAACTGTATACCAAACAAGAATACTGTTAACAATTTTCAAAGAATATGTAATATCTATACCGTATTGGAGGACCAAATGTCTTCCAATATTGTATTTTGAAAGCACTTGCAAAAAACTCATCCGTGAAAGATGAGAACTTAAACAGAAATTAAGAGCACTCTGATAATGAAAAAATACATAGTAAAAGTGGCACTCGAGAAAAATACAGTTTAAAGAGTTTACATTGGAAAATAAGGGCTAAAATAACTTAGAAAAAATATGGGAGGATATTTTTGGAACAGAAATCAATGATATATAAAACAGAGACATCAAAAAAGAATGTATAAATCTGAAAAAAAAAAAGTGTAATAAACTATGGTGACAGACTGACCCAAGACAAAAAGAGAAAACGCACACATTCAGGGAGATGAGCAGGTGAGTAGAAAGAGGCCAAGGAGATGAGGCTATACTGTCAATAACTCATGTAAACCCATGGACATATTTAGATCCCCCAAACCTGTCAGCTGAAACTGTAAACAGTGGGTTTGTGTGATGTGCCTCCCTGCTTACAAAAGCCCTCACTAGTACTATCTGACACCATTTCAACTGGAACTTTGAACTGGAAACACGAGGTAAAGACAGACATTTGGGGCTGAAGAGATGGTTTGGTTGGTAAGAGCACCTTCTATGTGAGCATGAGAAACTCAGTTCCGACCTCCAGGACCCACAGAAAAGCTTGGAAAGGGTATGCCTGCCTGTAGTCCAAGAGCCGGGAAAAGGTGAAGAAGTTCCCTGGTCAGCCAGTGTAGCTCAAACAGTGAGGTTCAGTTCAGCAACAGACCCTCTTCTTAGAGAACTTCTGATGGACTGCATTTGTATTGGCAGTCCTCCTGTGCATGAATACGCACACCACACACACCCACACCCACACAAAACACTCAAAAATGAACATAAGCCCAAAAATCACCTCACCACCAGCTGGTTTATGCACTTCAATTAATCAGGTTCTCTGGTTTCACACAATAATGTGCATCTTTAAACCTTATTGCTTTAATTTTGTCTCTGTTGTTTTCAAATAAATTCTCAGGTCATATGAACTATATACTATTTCCTGACTATGTTTTTCCTGTTGCCAACACAACATGAAGCTCAACTGATAAATTCTTCTGGCCTCTGTACCTTCTAAGTTGATTATGGGACTAGAGGTTTGATGACTTGGTTCAAATCCTTTGGCAAGAATTAAGTTTCTTCTCAGAAAGCATGAAACTTCAGACACAACAGCACTAACTATTCCTCCAATTCTACCCATTGCTCTCACTTACTCACTGAAATGACTGTAGCATAGAAGCTTTCCTCACTTCTTTGCTCTTCTGACATTTTTTTTAAGAGTTTTTATTTTATGTGTATGGGTGTCTTGCCTGCATGTATGTGCACCATGTCCAAGCAGTACCTGCAGAGGTGAGAAGAGGGCAGACCTGGGACTGGAGTTACAGTAGTTGGAAGCTACCATATGGGTGCTGGGAATTGAATCTGGGTCCTCTGGAAGAACAATCAGTGTTCCGAACCAAGCCATCTCTCCAGCCCCAACTTCCCTCATTTCTTATATCAGGAGTTGGCAAACACTTTTAATTTTAGTCTACAAAAAAATCCAATCTATTGCAACTACTCAACTCATATAGTAGTACAAGAGGCCAAACAATCATTTCCTGAATTTCCATTCATAAATTGGTACAACTGGTTTCAATGAAATTTATTTACAAAAACAGTACCAATGACTATTATTTGGTTACCAGTGAAAATTATAGGAAAAACAATATAAATGCTCAATTATTTTATTCATGTTTTTAAAACAATGTAAACGTATCCTTCAGCCAACCAATTAGTTTCTCTTTGTTTGTTTGTTTTTTGTGTGTGTGTGTGTGTGTGTGTGTGTGTGTGCTTGGGAGCAGACTTGTGCTTAGGATTGGATTTGAAAGAGCCCATTTTAAGGCAACTGTCACCCTTATGAAGATGAAATGGTTTTATCTTTGGCCAACAGGAACTCCTAAGATGCTAGTTCCAGAATCCTTTTTTTTTTTTTTTTTTTGGTTTTTCGAGACAGGGTTTCTCTGTGTAGCTTTGCGCCTTTCCTGGAACTCACTTGGTAGCCCAGGCTGGCCTCGAACTCACAGAGATCCGCCTGGCTCTGCCTCCCGAGTGCTGGGATTAAAGGCGTGCGCCACCACCGCCCGGCCCAGAATCCTTTTGACATGCCTCGAGCAATAGCTTTCTCTAGCAAGCACAGTACCTAGACACTTTAAAAATCATTTCAACTTTTCCAGAATTGAATGGGGGCTAAGGGAAGAAACAAAAAGAATTGAATGATAAGTAATGCATGGAAAAAAGATTTCACAGAACCTGGAACAATTCTTAGAATAGTTCAGAAGGAATACAAAACTGTTCTTAACATATCAGATATCTAAGGCGAGGAGGTTAGGATGAGAGTGGGACTCTATGATCAGAGAAAAGTAAATTAAAAATACCACGACACAACAGATTTACTTTTGAGGGGTTGAGGAGAAACCTATAGAATAGAAAAAGTGATAAAAGAAACAAGGAACTTCAGTCTCTCCTGGTATAAATGGAAAACTTAGGTACGGAAGAAGCAGAGAAGCAAGCACATCCAAAAGATCATTAACACAGCTGCCTAAGATCCAATGATGGCATCAGTACTGGGCAAGAAGGATGGGACAGAGTGAGGAGACACTGTACATGACAGAGTTGCACTTTGGCCTGCAGAAGCTGGGGTGGAAAGAAGAGGTGAGAAAAAGGGGGCAGGGCGCAAATAAACACAAAGAGAGGAGGTCAGCAACCTGCTGGAAGCTGTGCTTCCAATGTGTCAGGCACCAGGGTAAACCAGGGCCACCAGGACAACAGGAAAAGACCACGACAGGATGCCAGGAGGGACAATTTCAAGAAAACTTCAGAGTTTAAGTTGGAGGAACAGGCGATGTAAAGAAACACTAGTGAGGTGGTTTAGCAGGTAAAGGCATCTGGTGCCAAACCGGGTAACTAGAGTTGGAGCGCCAGAACCCACAGGGTGGGAAGAGAAAAACCACCCAACAGGATGTAATCTGACCTTTACATGCATGTCCCCACACCTACACATTCATTAAATAAATAAAACTAAACAAAAAAGACTGAACATAGAACTACTCTAACCCTGAGCAAAGTCTTTAATGACTAAGGCTGGGGATCCAGTGAAGGCAGTTCACTAACAATCTCTCCACTTTTGAGAACATTAAGTTTTTCATCATAAAAATTTTAAAATTTCTGAAAACTATTGAGTGTGCTACAAGATCTCATTCTTTGTGTACCCACTTCATCACTTTCTCCATAGTATAACTAACATTCCACAAAAACTTATTTGAAAATACTTAGTATCCCATGGATAAAGTGCAAGTGATAAATGGTTAACTCTCACCTTGAAGTTTTTCTGTACCATCTCCTTTTGCTTCCTCTTCTTTAACAGGGGGACTTATTCTAGGGGCCCTGCTTTGCCCCTGGACCATTTCTGCTAGCAATTCTTCCTGAGAAGTTCGAGTCCTGGGAGCAACTGGAAGTGTCTGTTTCTGTGGAACTTCACATAAAAAGCAAAAGAAGCAGAACAATACAAGCACAGTTACTCCTTCAGAACTCCACAGTTAACAACACAGATTAAATACAAATGCCACCCTTGGGTGGGTTCAGAATAGCGACAGCGTTCAAAACAAAGAAAACAACAAGTATTAAATACAAATGCAATCTTTGGGTTCAGAATAGTTACAGTGTTCAAAAACAAAAAACAAAAAAAAGAAACTACATTTTTCTTACAATATTCCCAGGAAAGACATTTGACTTCCTTGCTTTACTTGTACACAAGCAGCATCTAAAGCTTGAATGTCAGCACTCAGGAGGTTGATTGAGGCAGTGGGACCGCAATGAGTTCTGGACCAAACTGGACTACATAGTGAAAGCTGGTTTCAAAAACCCAAAACAAACCAACAAAAACTGTATGTCATGATACAATTTAAAATGTATGTAGTCATTTTGAACCAGATGCAGTGATATGCTCTTACAGTGACTTCAAACCATAACATAAACAGGCAAATAAAGAATGTTTCAATGCTATTTTTTAAAAATTCTTTTGTGACAAGGTCTCACTGTAGACCAGGCTGGTCTCAAATTCACTATTAAGTTGAAAATAACCTTAATCTCTTGCCTCTATTTCCCAAGTGCTAGGATTACAGGCATGTACAATCAAGTTTAATGTTAGATCTTGAAATGTGGGAATCTCCAGCTACTTTTTAAATTTTCTTTAGAAATACATGTTTTGCCCACAAATTTGTATGTGTACCCATGAGCACAGGTATGGTGCCTGTGGAGGTCAGAAGAGAGTGTTGGATCCCCGGGAACTGGAATTTTGGATGGTTCTGAGCAACCAAATAGGTACTGGCAGATCACTGTTGAGTTCCAGGCCAGATTGGTCTACATAGTGAGTTCCAGGACAGTCAGAGCTACATAGTAAGAATCTGTTTCAAACAAAACAAACAAAAACAACTCCCCCAAAAAAGATTTGTTCACTAATATGCTGCAAGTCTATTTCCAAAACAAAAGAAACAAGTCTTACTTTACAACCTGTCCTTAGGCCCATCCCCATCTCAGAGAACAGGTCTCTAAAGGCAGCTCTAACAGGAAAGCACTAAGTAATGAGTGACAGTCCTCATCAAGTTCCAGTCTGCCATCAAGTCCTGGTTCTCTTTTCAGGAAAAGCTTAATTCTGTCATGGGGCAGGACGACCTTCAATAACTACTACGTGGGAATGGGACACACACAACACTGGTGACTGAAGTAACTGTGACAATGTTTTTTTTGCTTGTGTAAATGTTCCATTTGTCCAAATGACCAGACTCATAGTCTCCTGTCTAAATTGTTCAAAGTGTGACTTGGAGGAGGGACCTGATGAGATTTAAGGATGACAGCACACATGGAATGCATAAGCCTAAGGAATAGCTATAAAGCTGGTAAAATGTTCTATTTATAGCTGGTACCCTTTTGTGCATTAGTCAGAACCAATAAAGATTTCCTTTATTAATCTCTGAGCATTTGGAATGATTTCTCAGTGGGAAGGCATATTAATTCTGTAACAGTTGCTCTTTCAGAGGACTAGGGTTTGATTCCCAGCACCCACATGGTAGCTTACAACCATCAGTAACTAATTCTAGGGGATCCAATGTTCTTTTCTGGACTCTGCAAGTAAAACACATATAAACATGAAAAAAAAAAAGGGTACAAGCAAGGAATTTCAAGGTCATGGAAATGCTTTAAATTCTTACTCTGAGCAATTATCATTGCTGTATTAGAAGAGTGAATTTTTGTAAAGGCAAACTGTTAGAGCAGGTGTTGGCCTTCACCTGATCATCCCAAATCTACTTAATGTTGTATGATCAAGGTTTAGTAGGGATGAGGAGAAGCAGAAGGTAGGTCAGTACCAAGAACTGTTTACTTTGCTTCAAGAAAGGGTCATGTGACAAAGGGCAAGTCGAAGAATGCTGTGAACGGGTCTATCAAATTCATATAAAAACTTGAATTTCAGAGTTGGCAATTGCTATCAGCTTAGTCCCACAAAATTTTCCGCTAGCTTCAGCAGGTGAACAGTCCAGAATGTAGCAGCAGCACAGGACAGCTCACCACCACTTGCATTTTAGAGTAAGTTTTCTTGTAAGAAGTTTTGTTATTAAAAACTTTGCACCTCAATATCTGACATCAAATGATTTTAGAGCTTCAATTATAATTAGGGTAACAATGTAACAATTCTCTGCCTTACAGTCTAGTACCAGGTTCCATCAAGGGAAAAGGGACTGGTCTATACATACAATAGTTTTAAACAAATTTCTTGCTATGGTCTGGGGATGTGGTTCAGTGGAACAGGACTTTCCAAGCATATGAGTTCAATCTGCTGCATGGCCAAAAACTAAATACAAAATTTCTCTAGCTTCAGCAACTTGTTATTACCCAATTTTGTTCTTTTCTACATAAGTACATACATAATATTGAACTAAAAAAACTAATATGAATGTCACACATTTTTTCATAATACCCTTTATAATTCATGGGCATTAGTTTATGCATATGAGAATAGAGCAGTTTACTCTGCTCAAGGAACTCCGAGGAGAGTTTTTCATCTGAAAAAGGTGCTGAAATCTTTAAACCCATTCTTCTAGAAGAAGTTCATACAAAGTTCAGTCTTTGTAGCTAGCAGGACTCTTTACTTCACACATCAAGACAAGCATGCTCAGTTCAATGAGGCGATCTCTTACCGGGGGAAAAACATACTACATTGAAATTACCTGCAGAATAGTTAGTTGTTTTTGTTACAGACTCTTGAGCTTCAGAGATAGCCTTCAAAATTAGATTCTTGTTAGCTTGTTTAGAAGGTGGAAGAGAAGGTCTAAAAGAGTTTTAAGAAAAGGTATTTGTACAATGTTTTAAATTTCAGTTCTTTACATGCTAACCATCTATTATTCTGTTACTATATAGCCTTCTGTTTTAAACATAGCAGTTACAGTTTTTAGAACAAGTCAATTAGACTGGAATCCTACCGCTTTTTTTTTTTTTTTTTTTTTTTAAAAAGACTCTGTATTAACATTTCCCCCCTCATTAATTTCCAGTCTTTGCAATTCTCTCCAATTTTCAGCAAGTCGTGGTTTTCCATGAATAGGTGTATCTCTCAACCCCAATGGTGCTGCAGGACAGCGTAGGGCCAGGGCACTTATCTAGCATTAGTCTGCACAGGCCCTAGGTTTCTTCCCAGCACTGCCAAAGGAACAATCCATCAAAATCTCCAGCCACATCAAGTAGTTCAGGATTAATTTATGGCTGTGGTCACGTACCTCCTCTCAGGCTTTGCTGGCACCGACACGCTGCTGGACAAACTTCCTACCCGGGAGCCGTAGTCCTCATCTTCCTCCTCCTCTTCTCCATCGTGACTGAACCTTTTTACTTTTACAACTGAACTTACCACAGGCAACTTTCTCTTCCGAAAGTTTTCATCCTACAATGAGATACATTTAAGCTTACCTTCATTGAAAACAAAGTTCTATCACAAAAAATACTTGTTTTCATTTTAAGATGATCTTAAGATGATCATTTAAGTTGATCGTAAGACCCGAAAGCGCTGGGTTTCTTATAAAACAGATGAAAATACCTTCTCAAATAGTTAACTCAAAAGAACTTTAAATTTATTTTGTAACAGTTGTACATAGCACTGTTAGAGAAACTATTTAAAACAAGTTATTTGGTTGCTTAAATTTAAAATTGACACCAAATAGAATAAGGGCAAAACTAACTCAAACTGCTAAAATCACAAGGCACATGTACATGACATACAATCCCTACAGAGCCAGTCCGAGAGGACACTATTTAAAATAAACATGAAAGTGTTTACTTAGGTTACATCTGGAATCAGCAACTGTCAGTCTCTAGTCCAGTAAGCCAGAAACTATATAAAATCTACACCAACCTCAATACTCATCTTATCCAAGCTGTTTCTGAAGAAGGGGCTGTAAGTGTCTTCTATGCTGCTAAGCACTTCCGGTTCGCACAGACGTCCTGCTTCGTAGACCTGGCTGCTCTGAACCTCCGGCTGCTTGGCAGTGTGAGCACTGCTTTGCTGCTGCTGAAGTTGCAGCCTGTTTAAATGGGTACCAGTGTCTGCATTTCTACTTGCAGGTGGTCGGTAAATTTCAATAGAAGGGCGAGAAGAACCATATGTAAGTGTCACTGTAGGTTTTTTCTGAGATAAGGGATTCTCCTGCACAAAATTGAGGTCTTCATCAATGAGATCATCTGGTTCTGGCTTGATATCAATCACATCTTCAGAGGGTGCTGGCTCCCTCAGAGGTTTCACTGTTGACATTAGCCGGGTTGAAGCTCCATCATCATAAGAATGTCTATTAAAACAAAATAAACAAAGCATTACAACAAAACTAAAGCATTATCCTCAAAGCTTCAAAGAATGTTTACTCAAAAAAAAATTTTATGAGAAAGTATGGATACTTTTTAATATTAAAAACTATTTCCAAATCATATTCATTCTGTAATTTTTTTCTTCTTTTGAGCCAGGTTCTTACTATTTAGCTCTGGCTGACTTGAGACCCCTCCACCTGCCTCTACCTGCCAGGTGCTGGGATTAAAGGTCTGCACCAGGGCTGGAGGTATGGTTCAGTGATTCTGAGAACTGGCCACTCACTCTTACAGAGCCAGGTTTGATTCTCAGCACCCACACTGCAACTAACAGCTATGTGTAACTCCAGTTGCAGAGGTTCTAAAGCTCTCTAAAGGACTCCATGGGTGTTATAAGCGCACGGTGCACAGATACACATACAGGCAAAACACCATACATATCTAATAAAAAAAATTTTTAATGCTTATACCACCACACCTAGTCCTCATACTTTAAACTTTTATTTACTACATTTAAAATAAAAAATCATATTCTGGTCACCATTAATTTATTCAAAAACTTGCTCACAGTCTGTTATGGTCTGAACCTAAAGGGGGCTGGGGAAATGGCCAGAGCACTAGCTGGTCTTCCAGAGGACCTGGGTTCCATTCCCAGCACCCACACTGGCTTACAACCATCTGTAACTCCTGTGCAAAGGGATCCAATGCCTTCTTTTGGCCTCTAGAGGCATCAGGTATGTACAGGATTCACAGACATACATGCAGGCAAAACACCTATGCAAATAAAAATAAAATAAAAATGAAATAATGAACCTGGAATGTCCCATACACACTCACGTGTTAAACACTAGATCCCTAGTTCATTATGCTACTTTAGAGGCTAAAATCCTTTTAGGAGGTGGGGCCCAATTGGCCAACACAGGTCATTGGTGTCTAGGAACAGACTTTTGCTGTTCTGGTCTAGTTTTCTTTGCTCTCTCGTTAACTATAGTGCTAGGAATTTCTTTCATATGCTTCTGTTTCCACAAACTCTATCTATCATGCTTCCATGGCTGTGATGAACTGAGAGCCTTCTGAACTCTAAGCCAAATACAAGATGTCCCATCAGGTATTTTCTAATAGCAACGAATGACAAGAAAATTAACTAATCCATGATCACCTCACTATTTCCAAAAATTGCTGAAACTAGGAACTAACTGAAGTGTCACATCCCCACGCATCTCTGGCCATAGCAGAGACTGGACTTTACCTGACATTAGTGGATTTCTGCTCCTGTGAACTTGCAGAAACTCTGGAATCTCTTTTCTCAGGCCTAGAGCTAGAAACGGCAAGGGGAGGGACTGCAGCTTCGTGCCTTCGCTCATCTCCCCGACTAAAGCTGCTCTTGTTTGAAGGCACAGTACTATCAAAGATGCTGGTGTCTGCAGACTTTAGACTAGAGGGCTCTGGAAAGAAAATGCATGACCCTGGTCATCTTTTTCTTAGCTCTCCTCCCTCTCATCACCAATTCAAAAGCAATACATTTAATAGAGAAAAGATTTTTTTAAATTAGTAACTCAAAGTGTTCCTTTTTCAGTTTTTGTTTGTTTGTTTTTGTTTTGTTTTGTTTTTTTGAGATAGGGTTTCTCTGTGTAATAACTCTGGCTGTCCTGGAACTTGCTCTGTAGACCAGGCTGGCCTTGAACTCAGAGATCCACCTGCCTCTGCCTCCTGAGTGCTGGGATTAAAGGCCTGTGTCACCACTGCTTAGCTAGTTTTCTTTTCAAACAAAAACAGGTCTTATGAAGTCCAGGCTGACTATATATACCACCAGAAATGACTTTGAACTTCCCATTCTCCTGCCTCCACTTCTGCAGCGTTAGGGATTCTAGGCATGTACCACCATGCCTTATTTTTTCAGTGCTCGGGACTGAACTCAGAGCTTCTTGCGTGCTAGGCAGGCACTCTACCAGTTGAGCTACATCTTTCGTTCCTCGAAGGTGGTAGTTTGAAAAGTAGCTGGTGTTTATCAAGAGATTTTAAGCACTAGGGGATAAAAAGCACCTAAAAATGTGGGCTCGGGATTCTTAAAGGAGAACTGTCTCAACAATATAATATTTATTACTACTAATAATAAATATTATTTTATTATTATTATTTTCCAAGAGTATCCACGTGTTTTAAATACTAGGATAATATTTGTGTATTCTCACTTTACTCCACATTAATTTTAGTCACTAAGTAGCATTCCTACACATCACTGTAGTTTATCTGATTTATTAGGTAACTTTAGATCACTTTCCATTATAAAGCAGTGAGGTATCTCTAAGGTTAAAGTTTGTGTACATTTACAATGACTTCCTCAGACACACGGCACTGTCTTGCCCATCACTGTCAAATCACAGTATGTTTAATGTTTGTACAGTTCAAATAAACCATTCCTCTTAAAGTGCCTGATGTTCTTCCAAGAGCAGCATAAGTGACTTTAGAAAGGAAAGGATCACACGTTTAACAAGCAAGAGTTTCAAAAAGCTCTCAATTTTACAAATCTTACCAGTTGTAACAGAGCGAAGTTTATCTAATACACCATGGAGCCTAAAAAAAAAAAGCAAAACAAAACCTCCCTTAATAAAAATTTTATTTCAATTGCCACTCTAAATCTGATGACATTATATCCAGATTAGTTCGTTTAAAGGCATTTAATAATACTGAACTGAACTTTGCAATCACACATTAGTTTTTTCTTTAAAGGCCTTACAATAGGGGTGGGAGACAGCTTAGCAGCAGAGCAGTTGAAGTCCTGGAAATGCAACCATTAGCCTCACGCACACTATTCAAGTACTCTAATATTACTGATCGACACCCACAGCTCTCTTCTTACTTTCTGAGACCAGGTCGAAGTTGCTTGACCCTCCTACCTCAGTCTCCCAGGTAGCTAGGATTACATGGTGTCAAAAGATCCAGAACAGAATGTTAAGAGCACACTCAAGGCCCTGGGTTCAACCCCCAGCACCCAAGAAAAAAGACAAAGACATCATTTGACAAGTCTTGATTTAAAAAAAAAAGTTACCTTACTTTCTAAGGACTAAAGACCAATACAGCTAATAGTAAAACAACCAGTTATCCCAAACAACTGTTTTACCTGTGTGTGCGTGTGTGTGTGTGCATGTGTGCGTGCGTGTGTGTGTGTGTGTGCGTGTGTGTACGTGTGTGTACGTGTGTGTGTGCGCGCGTGTGTGTACGTGTGTGTGTGCGTGTGTGTGTGCGTGTGCGTACGTGTGTGTGCGTGTGTGTGTGTGTGTGTGTGTACGTGTGTGTTTCTTTCTGCCCTCCTCCCTCGCCCTCTCCACAGGGTTAAACCAAGGACCATGCTCTACTAAGCACATGTTCTACCACTGAGCTATAAATACTCTAATCCAGTGGTTAATATTTAAACTATTTACATGGCTTCTTGGACAATGTAATTCTGAGAGGTAAAAAAAAAAGTTAATAAATATGCTATCCCATTTTACTGTAACTATTATTTAAAACCTTGCGTTGACATAGCCTATCTTAACCATTTTTATAGAAGGCATGTTTGCACAGCAATCCTTCCAAAATCCTCTCACAAACACCAGAAGCTTCCTGTTTCATTTAGACTCCATTCACGTGCTAGTTTCCTCATGGACACAATTATTTCAGGATTAAAAAAAATAATAATAGGATAAGGAATAAAAAGGCCTTAGTGTAAAGCTATAAAACTGAAGGCAAAAATGAAATACAAAAAAGCACCAGAGTAGGGCTGGGAGTCCTGAAGGTGATCCCCAGAGCCCACGTAAAAGCTGGGTGTTGGAAACCGCCAGCACTTGTAAGGCAGAGACAGGGGTCTCTGGGACAAACTGTCTAGGTGGACTAAAAGTAACTGATGAGCTCTGGGTTCAGTGAAGAGACCCTGCCTCAGTAAATAGAGTGATCCAGTGAGACACCCAACATCAAATTCAGGCCTACAAATAGAAACACACATACACACACCCCCATGCATACGCACGTCCATGTGTATCTACATATGCAAACATGCATACACACACAAGCAAACAACCAATTAAAAATCAGGGTAGTCTGTTTAACATTAGTGAACTGATGAAAGTACCAAAGAGAAGACACAATTCCTCGGATGAGTACATGGTATGAAACTGTATTTGCAGCAAGATGGGAAACTGATTTTGATTTTAAATTCACATTGAGTTAATGCTATATTGGTTTACAAAATCTGTCTTAAGCAGTCCATTAAGTCATCTGAGAAAGAACCTACAACGTTGTTAGTCTTCCAGCTTAGATAAGCTGGACTGAAAACTCCAAGTGATCTAAAGGTTTAACCAAAGGTCAGGTCACAACAATGCTTATGAAGCAAAACAAATTCTTGAACTACTCATGGCTTCTGGAGAGATGGGTCAGTGGTTAAGAGCACTGCTTGCTCTTCCAGAGGTCCTGAGTTCAATTCCCAGCAACCACAGGGTAGCTCACAACCATCCCCAATGAGGTCTGGTGCCCTCTTCTGGCCTGCAGGCATACATGCAGACAGAACACTGACTACATAATAAATAAATAAATAATTAAAAAGTATTACAATCACAGTATAATTTCCTCAGTCAAAAACACCATGACCATTTGAGAACAAACTATATTAAGCAGAGTACACAGCCACAATGAAGCAGTGTGTTAACTGTAAGGATCAGGGTGATCTTAATAACGTGCTCCAAAATTGTGCACTATACAGCAGAAAATTCTGCACAGATTTTCAAAGAAGTGTCATCCTGAGAGCCATAAGGCCTACAGCTGTCCAAACTACTGTGAAGCCATTCTTCCTCAAGAATCAAGACGCGAACAGGCCCATCTCCCTTTATGCCTCCTACTCAACTGAAGCAGCCTAAGTGCTCCCCCAGCTGTGCTCCATCCTCAGCTTTCAGTGGCCCTTTAACAAGTATTTCCCACCTGTCAGCAGACAAGCACTCATTATCCTTTCCAATCCTCACTCTGCCTTAAGCCTGACAACTGAATTTGGCCTTCTTAAACGGAACCTCATGCTCATTTTCAACTAAGGGCACATGTGATTTGATAAAGGGTAGTTCAAATCATGAGGATTTTATATGAAAAAATAAAGTTGCTTATTTGAAAGGTGACTGAGATGTTTGTCAAATAGAGACATGCATGTGTCAGGAAAAGAAAAAAGCTTAAAATGAAAACAAAAAAGTTTTCCCCATAAAAGTAAAAAACAAGCCTAGCTCAAACCATGGAGTTCCCTGTTTCTAAGTGGTTGTGCTGGGGGTGGGGTGGTGGTGAGGGGGGAGTGAGAGGAGGGGGTGGTGAGAGGAGGGGAATGATGAAGTGTAGAAGGCAGCAATGGCTAATAAATACATCAAGGGCTCCTATGGTGCAGGCACATCTGCAAGCTCTCTAATGTAGCAGCTAAGCTGTCCTCACAAGTACAGACAGTAGGTGACTTCCTATTCCCACTCAGAGGGAAAAATCTCCAGAGGCTTGTGCTGCACAGCTCACAGAGCGCCTCTCCACAGTGAACCTCCCAAGACCGCGGAAAACCTCCTTCTGGACACAATACCAATTCTGACTTTGCTCTGAGGCACAGATAATTCAGAAACATACCATACGGTGAATCGAATTGTGTTGTTCCCTAGAAACAGGGACAGGTCCTCTGTCATTTGGTCCTGACTTTTCTTGTTGGCCACCATCACCATAATGTAATCAGGAAGTTCTTCATCTATTTAAAAGGAAAAGTATACCAAACTTTTAAATGTTTCCTCAATATTTGATTTTGCTCAAAATCAATGTCCTTAAAAACCTCACTCTAACATAGGATGGACAAGAAAGCTCAGCTTCCAATTTTCCCCTTTATCCCACAATTATTTCCATTATTAGAAGGCCAGGAATTGGGAAAAAGTGGCATTTCTAGTCATAAAACTAGGTATCCTGGGTCACAGAATCAATTGGGAGAATGTACTGGTTTTTGTAAGAAATCCTTTCAATGTTCATCAACTTCAGACACTTCTGGAAGGTACAGATACGTACCCAATTGTATTCTGTTTAGTTTTCTGTACTTGTTTCCCTAGAGACTACGCTTCCACTCATAAAGGTAGGCTTCCATTACTCCATGTACTAAACTTCTATCAACAGCACATACACTAAACTACACAGAACTCCACAGCATATACAATGCCGGGAGTTCAACTGTTAATACCAAAGGAAGGAAAAAAGTTCAAAGGCAACTCAACTTCTTTCATCCACCAGTGGCAACCCTACCTAATGACTGCAGGAAAAAGCCCAAGAACAACAAGCAAGCAAAGTCATTGTGAGGAAATCTAATTTCTTTTTGAAAAAAGTAGGTGTTCTGGCTGTCCCACCCCAGATATATGGCCCATGAGAGGGTCTTAAAACTCATGATCCTTTTCCCTCTGCCTTCTCAAATACTGAGATGACTGACATACACCTCTGCACACAGCTTCAAACATGTCTTTATTACAATTTCCTTAGTAACTAAAATACTCATAATTTCCACATAAACAGAAAGGTCCATCTGCCAGACACTTGTTTCAAAGGAAAACAAGTCGGTGTTGAAGAGATGGCTCAACTGTTAGGAGCGCTAGCTGCTCTTCCAGAGGACCCAGGTTCAATTCCCAGCACCCACATGGCAGCTCACAACTGTCTGTAACTCCACTTTCAGGGCATCCAACACCCTCACCCAGACATACATGCAGGCAAAACACCAATGCATATAAAGTAATAAGTAAATAAACCATTTTTTTAAAAAAAGAAAAGAAAAACATCCAAACTCCAGTATAGAAGCAGGATAAAAGAGAAGGTAGTATTTTATGGGAGCATGCAATAAGGGAGGAAACATAAATAAAAAGTGGCCAATCTTTGTGTTGCGAAAGTATCAAAAAAAAAGCCCTGTTGTAATAAATAAGCTAATCTTTATGTATGTGACATATCTATGATCCAACACTACTAACTGAGACAGTGTAAACAGGTAAGACTGCTAAGATACTTGGGCAAACAGCTATTTTTCTTTCCTAGTGCCAATGATATTACTTTGCCACTGTATCAATTTGTACTTTTTAAAATTTCATGAGATCAGTGGTTGTCTCAGTATAAAATGGGAACAAGGAAAGGTGTTAGAACCAGTTATAAAGCCAAAGGAGCTACTGGAAATTTGGGAAGGGAGGAGGACTTAATGAGTCTATTGTTCTTTTTTTTTCCCTAAAAGTGGTGCTAGGATTCAATCATGGGATCTTGTGCAGTGTTAGGTAGTCTCCAGTGAGCTATACCCAGTCCAGTAGATTTATCACATTGATGAGTGATGGCTTTAAGATATATACTTATCAAGACATGGCAAATATACTAATAAACAAATACAAACACTTGAAGTACGTGCAACTTAAACTATCAATTATTTCTCAGCAAAGTCTTTAGAATTCGTATGTTTTCTGAGTAGACAATACAATGGAAATTAAGACTCTAATGCAAAATTAGCATGTGACCATAAAATATTCTTCCACAGTCCAGACAGCCCTCTAAAATACATCTTAAATTAGCCTACTGGGGACAGAAGACAGCAGTAAAAGCTGGGAAAGTACACAGAAGCTCTCACCTCTAGGGTGTGAATGAAAACTGAACAGTTCGTCCAGTCGGAGAGGGAAGAGGGATCTATGAGCAAGGGGCATCAAGATCATGATGGGGAAACCTACAGAGACAACCAAACCAAACTAGTGGGGACTCATGAACTTTAGATCAACAACTGTGGAGCCTGCATGGGACTGGACTAGGCACTCTGCATAATCGAGACCTTTGTGTAGCTTGATGTGCTTAAGAGGCCCCTGGCAGTAGGATCAGGATCCATTCCTGGTGCATGAGCTGGCTTTTTGGAGCCCATTACCTACGGTGGGACACTTTGAACAACCTTGATGCAGGGAGAGGGGCTTGGACCTGCCTCAGCTGAATGTACCAGGATCTGCTGACTCCTCACAGGAGGCCTTACCTTTTCAGAGGAGGGGATGGGGGGTTGAGAGGAGGGAAGAAAGGGGGAATCTGTGATTGGTATGTAAAATGAATAATAAAATTTTAAAAAAGAAAAAAAAAAAAAACCTGGACTGTCACTGCTGCACCACTGACCTGTTCCATGTAAGCATAGAGGAAACCTTTTCTGCTTGCTTTAAAGAATGGTGGCTCTTCTTTGTACCCCACCCAATACTTTGAAAAATAAATACTCAAATAATTACTGAACAACTGTCTTTATAACCCTCCAGAGCTCTGAGACTCTTTTTAGGTATAAAGAAATATGAGAAGCTGGGACCAGTAGTGGGATATGAATGTCACCCCAGCACCTAGGAAACTGAATCAGGAGGATCAGTTTGAGGCTGGCACAAGCTATATCATGAATGGCAAGCCAGTCTGAGCTATACAGTCTGAGATCCTACCTCAAAGAAAAGAAAAGCCACCCTGTTCTGGACAGTGAGGTATATACATCTACAAATAATATGGTAACTAACTGCAAACATAAAAAAGACCTTGCTTTATTTCAAAGAATTGGAAGATAACTTCTGTTAACTGATAGATATAAACACCAGGCTCTCTGCTAGAACCCATCATGAAATTGCTTTAAGGAATTTCCAATTCTGAAGTTATAATAGTGTTAGAGAATTTATGGGGTCCTAGGTTCAAGGAAGGAGGAAGGAGGGAAGGCGGGACCATCCATCCTTCCCTTAAGTCGTTTTTATACAGTTAACATAACAGAAGCACAAGGACCCCCAACCCCGAGCCCCTAACCCTCAGTCTGCTATTGGTAGGCCTAGTGCAGCGCTCTCCCAGAGCAATACTGCCGCGCCAATTCCAGCAGTATTTGAGAAACAAATGCGGGGCTGGAGAGATGGCTCAGAGGTTAAGAGCACTGGCTGTTCTTCCAGAGGTCTTGAGTTCAATTCCCAGCAACCACATGGTGGCTCACAACCATCCGTAATGAGATCTGGTGCCCTCTTCTGGCCTGCAAGCCTACATGTAGGCAGAATACTGTATACATAATAAATAAATAGATCTTTTTAAAAAAAAAAAAACAAAAAAACATGAGAAACAAATGCAACTGTAAGGTCATGTTTTAAAAAACTGAAACAAGTGGTTTGGAATTTCTGATAAGTGACAGCAATGAATTGATCTCAGTGAACAGGAGCTTGTACCTCACACCACCATTTACTAACAGTTCCACATGTGCAGCACATCTCTCACAGCTGGCCCCATTACATGTTCAATGAGAAAAACAAGGAACCTAAGAAGATCCAGGTCCACCTTCATCTTTCATACCCACAGGGAGTCTTACAACAATCCGGAAACAAACCTGAAATCCAACAATCAATTATAATTCATAAACTACTCATTCTTAGCCTGTTCAGTCTCAGGGCCCTTCTCTGGCTGATGTGAATTGTATCTACTAATATTAACCATATGAATTTAAGATGGAGAATTTTTAAAGGATATAATTATTAATGTATCAATTATATGCTAGTAGCTCAATTATATTAACTTAATAGTTTTTTGAGAAAGAAAAAACATAATAGCTCAAGGATGGCCTTGCCTTCTACTTCCATAAATCTCTTTTGTATCTGGTATAAAAGATAAATGAATTCTAATCTCTGTTTCTTGCATCTAATCTGTGGTCAAGCTGTTTAATGTTGGAGAATGTCAAGAAAATCTAGTCCTACAAAGATGTACTTCAAGTATTTTAATAGCCTTTCTAGATCTCATGGATACCCTTCTGTGACACCACACTAAAACTCAAGTGACAATTTATTAGCAATATAGAATCTAATACACCACCAATTACCTCTTTGTACTGTTACAAGAAAATCCACCTATACATCTTTTAACTTTCGCATAATTCAGTAACGTGTAGTGGTCGCTTGGAGATACTAGTTCACTGAGCTGGTGAACCAAGGACATGCTGATACATTTCATTATATGAAGCCACACTGTCAGTACCTCCATAATTTCACCACAAAATCTTCCAGTTCACAGAGGTCAAAGTTTAATTTTCATTTAAGGTTCAGCTTGTCATTGGCAATAAAAACTACTGGCTTTTTTCATGCCTACTGAATACCTAAGTGCACAAAACCAGTTTATCACTTCTTAGAAGGTAAAAAAGCTTCCACTTCTGTGATAAAACACTGTGACCAAAAGTACTTGGTGAGGAGAGTGTTTATTTCATCTTACAGCTTATGGCCTATCATCCAGGGACGTCAGGGCAGGAACTCAAGGCAGGAACCTGTGCTGTGGGATATCTTTCTGTACGCTGTGAATATGTGTTGCTGATTGGTTGATAAATAAAGCTGCATTGGCCTATGGCAGGGCAGGATGGAGCCAGGTGGGGAAATCCAAGAGAGAGAGAGGAGAAAGGAGAGTGGGGGCAGATGCTGAACTGCCGTCTAAGGAGCAACATGTAATGGGACGCAGGTAAAGCCACGGAACATGTGGGATACACAAATTAAGAAATGGGTTAGTTTAAGATGAAAGAGCTAGCTAGCAAGAAGCCTGCCATAGGCCATACAGTTGGTAATTAATATAAGCCCCTGAGTGATTTTTTCATAAGTGGCTGCGGGGACACAGAAAACTTGCAGCTATAAACCTGGAGACAGGAGCTGATGCAGAGGCTATGCAGGAGTGCTGCTTCCTGGCTTGCTCTGCCGGCTTTTTCTTTTAAGTTTTCTGAGACAGGGTTTCTCTTTGTAACCCTGGCTGTCCTAGAATTCACTCTGTAGCCCAGGCTGGCCTCTAACTCACAGAGATCCATCTCCCTCTGCCTCCCAAGTACTGGGATTAAAGGTGAGAGCTAGTATTAAAGGCATGTGCCACCAATGCCTGGCTTTCTGCCTGCTTTTCTTTAAAGCACCCAGGATCACCAGAGGGGGGGGGAGGTGGCACTACCCACAGTAAACTGGGCCCTCCCACACAAATCAAGAAAATGCCCCTCAGCCTTGTCCACAAGCCAATCTGGTAGTGGCATTTTCTCAGCCGAGTGCTCCTCTTTCCGAATGACTTTAGCTTGTGTCAAGCTGACATGCCAGCACAAGTAACAACCTTAGTTCAAAATCACTAATACCTTTTCCCAAAACAGTCCCATCAGCTCAGTGTACTACTGCTTTCCAAGCACTTCTATGTCCTCACAATCAAAATACTAAAAAGACGGCTGTCCTGGAACTCACTCTGTAGATCAGGCTAGCATCGAACTCAGATCTGCCTGCCTCTGCCTCCCTCCTGAGTGCTGGGATTAAAGTTCTGTGTCACCACCTCCCAACTGCGAAGCCAGTTTTCAAAACATTATATTAACTATTTCACTGATAAGATTCTAAATGGAACTGGCTTTTTTTTTTTTTTTTTAACTACAAGAAGTAATTTGACTAAGAGTTCTAGGAAAATCTGGTGTGACTATCTCTTAAACTTAGTTTTCTGGCTGGGCGGTAGTGGGGCACGCCTTTAATCCCAGCACTCGGGAGGCAGAGGCAGGCGGATCTCTGTGAGTTCGAGGCCAACTTGGTCTACAGAGTGAGATCCAGGACAGGCACCAAAACTATAGAGAAACCCTGTCTCGAACCCCTCCCCCCAAAAAAAACCTTAAGTTTTCTGAACACTGCTTTCATATAATCCAAATGTAAACATCGCCCAAAGCCAAGCCTAACTAGGATAAAAACAATTTTGACTCCACAGGTCAGTAAGGGTCTCAGACACCTAAGCTACCACGATTGACACTTGAAGTAACCAGCTGTGAAGTCAGACCAGGCCTCTTCCCACAACCCTGTTCAAGTATCCAAAGCCTTTGTTTCTATTTGTACAACTGGGGACATTATCACTTACATTTAGTGGTGTTTTTTATTGTATATACGTAATAGCTAAACACTGCCTAGCCCAAAGTAAACACTCGTTTTAAGAAAAGAGCTGTCAGGTTCGAGTAGGAAGAACATTTATTACTAAAAAAAAAAAAACCAAAAAAAAAAAAAACCCTGAAACATAAAACTCACTGAACCAGCTCTGTGGCAAATGCCAGAAAGCATCACACGTTCATATTCAAAATGAGAGATCTGAAATTAAAGGTCATGACGAAACAGAACAAGATTCAGACAAACATTATGGGTTGAAAAACGACAGCCTCGGCGGAAGAAAAAGCTAGACTATTTCAAAATTAACGCTTTAGACAGGGCATGGGGTATGGGGGCGGGGGGGGGGGGTGTGCCGGGGGGCTCTGGGTGCTGCTATAGACGGTTCAGTGAAACGAGGGTAGAGGAAACCAGGGAATATCCGACTTCAAGGCAGACCACCCAAAGAGCTTTGGGCAGACTCACTGAGACACATCCAGTCAGCTGCAAGCCCTACAAGTACATTGAGGGGAATGACAAGAAGCAACTTACCCACGTAAGCTCCTAATTCTTGCAATTTCCCCTTAATGGCACTCTGAGGAGGGGAGAGAGAGAGAAAAACAAACACAGCAAAGGTGCCTGTGAAAACCGCGCCGGTCACAGAGCGACCCCCCCCCCCCCGGCTCCCCGCCCCGGAAGGTGGAGGAAGGGACGCCCGACCCCCCCCCCCCCGCGCCCCGCTCTCCCCCGGCGCTTTCCCCAGCCACCGCCCCGGGCGGCTCCCACAAGGCCCGCGGGGGTCCCCCGAGCCGCCGCGCCGCGCCTGCGCCCTGTCAAGAGGCGGCCCGCGCCGAGGAGCCGCGGCAGGCCGGGCCCACCCGCCCCGTTACTCCTGGCAACCGCCTGCCCGCCAGGCCCGGCGCCCGGCGCCCGCCCGCCCGCCCGCCCGCCAACGCGGGCCTCACCCGGATCTTGCGGCTGATCTCGGTGCCGATTTCCATGGCTCAGCGGCGGGCGGCCGGGTCAGCACTGCGCGGCGCTTCGGTTACCTGGAGCCCGCCGCGGGCTGCCACCCTGCAGCCTGCTCCCCCCGCGCCGCCGCCGAAGCCGCCACCGCCGCCACCGCCGCCACCGCCGCCGCCGCCGCCGCGGCCGCCGCTCCGCCTCCGACCGTGCGCGCTGCGTGTCCCCGCCCCTGCTGGCGCCCCCGTGCAAGTGGGAGCCAGCGCGCATGCGTCTGCGCACACGCATGCGCCCGAAGGTCCTTAGCGGGTCCGGGAACCTGTGCTCTGGCGCCCTCTGCTGGCGGCCGCACAGAGGGCAATGGCGTGCAGGTAACCTGGTGTGATACCTAACCCTTCGTAAACCGGGGGACCTGGATGAAAACCTCCTTTCATCCCTTTCATGGTTTCTCACTTAAGGAATTTGAGTCTCCTACAGGTTATAAGGATGAAGTCGTGTATAGCTCAAACATCATGGGTCTGGGTCTGAGTTCAAATGTAACTTCAAGTATCAATATGGGGTTGATGCAGGTCATTTAACTCTTGAGGTTTTCGTTTTCTTCCAGGAAAAAGAGATTATTTTGATACACTTGGTGAGGTGGAGGGGCAAATCAAGAGCATCAGCAGAACCCATCCATCATGCCCTTACTTTAATTTTAGAGGGTTTTGGTTTGGTTTGGTTTTTGGTTTTTCGAGACGGAGTTTCTCTGCGTAGCCCCAGCAGTCCTGGAACGCGCTCACTTGACCAGGCTGGCCTTGAATTCAGAGTTCCTCCTGCATTCTGCCTCCCGAGTGCTGGACCACCACCGCTGGCTACTTTAATTCTAAACATCCTTGCTCTCCTGTCTTTGTTTCTGCCTTTTTTTTCTCCTGTCTCATCAGTGTTCTTTACCCAAGATTAATCCTCCTCCTGCCCTTCCTCTCTGAGTCAGCCAGCTACAGGTAGCAAGAAGAGAGGTAAGTGGCGCCCTCTAGTGTTACAAGTGAGCGGCAAGTGGCGCCCTCTCGTGTTAGAGTTGGTGTGCAGGCTTGGGATACTGGGACTCTTAGCCGTACATGTATTAGAGCTCCTTGGGTCTAGAGTTGCAGCTCGCAGTCATAGCTAGGGTTGCAGCTTCCTACAGGTCCTAAGTATTGGGATTCCTCGGGCCTTGGTGGCAGCCAGTGTTACAGCAAGTTGCTTGACACTCTTGGCCCTGGAGACCTGGCAAGTCTCTCAAATTCTTCTTGTGACCAGGGCCTGCAAGGTTCTCTGGTACTTCATCACTGCGACCTCTTCACCTCCTGCGTCTGCTGCCTTCTGCCATTCTTGAACTGCTCCATCACTCTTCTGTCTGCTGCCTCTGTTTCGGTCCACACAACTGAAAGTGGGTGAGAAAAGAGCACTTGAGAGAAGTCTCTTGTTAGGTCTCCAGTTGTGTCCCTAGGAGGAGCACAGCACAGCAGAGTTGTCTCCCAGGCCAGAGCAGCCTGCTTCTGTAGCTCAAAATGGGACGTTTGGCTTCATCACAGCTGTTTGTTTGGGCCAAGCCCAGCCTTAGGTTGGGCTAATCACAGCTTTGCCTCTTAGCCCCAATCACAGCCATCCCTCTGCTAGCCCACAGGAAAAGTGCTTGCTCTCTGGCCTAGGAAGAAATAATTGCAGGTTCGTTTGAAGTTCTTCAAGGCTCAGGATCGCAAAGTATCAGGTACAAAATATTTCAAACAGCCTTCGCTGGAGCCAAGCAGTCAGGAGTTGGGACGGCCACCTGCAATCTTTACATGGTTGTTTCAGGGTGTCTGTGGAATGCTTAGGACTGTTGCTGCGGGTGTAAGAGGAGTCCGGCTGGTTGTTCAGGGCGTCCAGGGCAGCAAGGGACAGTTCAATAGCTGCTAATAGGTGTCAAGCTGTCCAATTCGTAGCATCTTTGCTGGTTTATAAGAAAATGAGCGTCAGAAAAGGTGCTCACACTACACACTGAAAGAGCTCATCACCCAGAGTGACTCCAGCAGATTGAAAAGTTCTTTAGCATGCAACTTGCCTGCAGTCAAGTAGGTCAGTCTCTCACTTATCTCGTGTTATCATTTCTACGCTAATAATGACAGACTCTTCCATTTACCTTATGCTCTCACCCGAAAACCCACTCCCAAATTCTAGGTAACTATGCCCATTTTATTTTCTTCTAAATTCAGCCTTTTCAGTGCAAAGCCATCTTTACCATCTCCAAGTCAAATGTCTTTTGACAGTGGACTTCTTTAGTCTCCCTGTCCCTGATCACAAAACATGGAAGAATTTTTTTTTTTTTTTTTTTTTTTATCAGAATAGACATCTAGAGAGGTTTCTGTTCCTGCCACATTCCTCAGGTCTCTAAGTGGTTTGGAGTATGAGGGTTTTTTTTCCCCCCCCTTGTTTTTTATTTTGGGGTTAGCTTTGTAGTATGGCTTCAATATGTTTGGACTCAGATTCCTGTTCCTCCTGCCTCCGCCTCCACAGTGCTGGGATTACAGGCATGCACCAACTATGCCCAATTCCTTAAGAATTGGTTTCCATTTAGTTAGCTCTTGGTGCACAACGGGTGACCACAGGCGTAGCAGTTTAGAACGTACATGTTTCTGGCTGGAGAGATGGCTTAGAGGTTAAGAGCCCTGGCTGTTCTTCCCAAGGTCCCCGAGTTCAATTCCCAGCAACCACATGGTGGCTCACACCCATCTATAATGAGATCTGGTGCTCTCTTCTGGCATGCAGACATGCATGCAGACAGAAACACTGTATACATAGTAAATAAATAAATCTTTAAAAAAGAACACCTGGGGCTGGAGTGATGGCTCAGTGGTTAAGGGTTAACTGCTCTACCAGAGGACCCGAGTTCAATTCCCAGCACCCACATGGCAGCTAACAACTGTCTGTAACTCTAAGATCTGACACCCTCACAGAGACATACATGCATACACCAATGCACATAAAATAAAGATAAATAAATTGTTTCTAAAAAATAAAAAAAAGAACACCTATGTTTCTCATCTTGCGGTTTTCATCAGTTAGCAGCCTAAGCTAACTTGGGTCTCAGAGTCTTGGCAGGCCTCTGCAGAAGTGACAGACATGCTGTGTTTCCATCTGGAACATGACTAAGGAAGAATCCCACTTCAGGCTCTAATATTAGCAGGAAATGATTTCCTGGGATCTTTATGAGCAAGGCATGGCCATCTTTTTGCCAGCTGTGGTCTAGAAGCCATGTTCTGGTCTTAGAAGATGGCCCACATTTCCATGCCAAGGGTCTCACTATTAGAATTCCAAGCTTCTCCCCCAGCTACATGACCGTGCATACGCTGTCCGGTAGCCAGACAAGATGCTTAGTCATCCTAGGGCCTTATGTCTTACGTAATCTGTGTACTGCGTGATCATGTAATCTATGCGCATGCGTGGTGTAGCTCTGTAAGCCCATATGCACATGTGAGGCGGGGGGTGGGGGACATAGACCTATAAAATCGGGTTCCACCTGTTCCTCCTCTCTCTTCCTGCAGGGTCATTCCATAGGCCTATGCACACCCTTTCTATTCCCTTTCCTTAATAAACTCTTATAGTGGGTTTTTTTGAGCCTCGTGGCTTCTCTCATACACTCACCAAGATGGCTGCTCTTAATTTAGCAAAGATACAGTCCCCTCCCAGCACACCTTGGTTCCTCTGTTAAGGACTTTCATCTCATTCATTTGGGCTCATCTGAGGCCTGACGCCTAAATCAAGTGAGTTAGGACCTTCTTTATGTCTCCAGATCCTCTTGTCTTCACCCTATGCATTAGTTAAAGCAGTCCACAACCACAGGAATTATAGAAGTGTAGGACCCCCAGAGCAACACAGAGTCTGTGCCACAGGCCCCTTGACATGTGTCAGGCGCATGTGGTCTTCTGAATGCCTCTGGCATCTATATGGAATCTAATGTGATGGCGTACGTCTTCTAGCGTTGACGATCAATCCATGTATGTGTTCATCCTCCCTAGCAAAAGTGATAAACCGAGCACTGTGTGTCTTTTATATTGTACAGAAGTTCCTTCAAGATGGTAGGCACATAGTAAACATGTATCAAATATTTAAGGATTAAAAGAAATCAAAGACTTAATTTACTAAAGCATTTTTCCTGGGTAAATCCAGTGACCGTAGAGTCATGAAACATTGACGAGAGATGGAGGAACGGAGTGACGGGGAACAGGGACCCTGGAGTCACGCTGTCTGGGTTCGAGTGCAGCCCCGCCACTCTCTCTGAGCCCTTAGGCAGGTTGCTTCTTTTTTTCGTGCCTCAGTTCCCTCATCCGTAGCATAGATATAATACTGTTTTCTCCTGCCGAGAGTTCTTAGAGGGTGGAGGTAAGTTAATATTTGCAAAGCCTTTCGAACTGTGCCTATCTCATAGCAGCATTCTGTTTGTTGATTAAAAATTAAATGCCTGTACTGAGCCAGACACTGTGCTGGGAGCCGGAGTACACAGGTGAGTAGAACCACATCTCTGTGCTCATCACACAGTTCAAAAGCCGGGTAAGTTTTTTTTTTTTTTCTTTTATCCACCATTCCATTAACTAAGAGCAAGAACGTGTCTTACCATTATTGTACCTTAAACAAATTGACATTCAACAATTTAGTTACTATTGGAAAAATCTTGTGTAAAGAGGCCCGGAGAGCTGGCCCAGTCAGTAAAATGTTTGCCGTACGGAAAGACCTGAATAACCCCCAGCACCCATGTGGAAATGCCGGGCATGATGGTATGTGCCTGTAATCCCAGAATTGGGGAGCTGGAGACAGGGGAATCCATAGGGCTTGCTGGCCAGCTAGTCTAGGCAAATCAGCAAGCTCTTGGTCCAGTGAGAGGCCCTGTCTTGGAAATAAGATGTAGCTGACATCAACACTCACTTCTGGCATACACACACACACACACACACACACACACACACACACACACACACACACAAATGTATTCAAAGCCAGGCATGGTGGCACATGTCTGCAGTCCCAGTACTTGGGAGGCTGAGGCAGGAGCATCATGAGTTTGAGGCTACATAGCAAGGTCCTGTTTTGTTGTGTTTTGTTTTGAATTTACAACAAGGACTTTATTTAAAGGTGTTGAAGACAGGGTTCTCTTTTTAGGACAACCAGCTTACAGTTATGGA